AATCCATATGATACAGGGATTAAAATAGTGCCAAAATGTTGAAGGCTATTGAGCCCATTAAGGAACTAAATTTCCTAGTTCAACTCCCCCTTTCAGATGGTAATTCTCTTTACATGTTTTGTTCTATATACTATAGAATCCACAATACTCCAACCTAGTTCCTTTTAAAGTCCAATCTCACTAAGAACTGCACAGAGAAAAGAAAGCATTCTTTGTAACTTTGCTGTTTCATAGCACTAGAGCTGAGGGGTTTTCTCTGCATTTTGTGTCTTAGCTAATATGGATCTCTCTAGCTAAAACTGTATCCAGGGTCATAAAAAATTATTTTAGTGCCTTACCACAGTCATTAGATTCTGCTTTTGGTGCAATTTCAGCTTTTTAGGAGGTTGGCTTTAGACCAAATTAGCCTCTTCTGTTTCACAGGTTAAAAGTAAAAAATGCTAATTTTACAACCACTTACATTTAAACTTTGCATATGGTCTGAAACAAAAGTTCATAGTTTCATTAACACTAAAAATACTCTTATTTGCTGCATTCAGATAGAAATAAAATGTAATATATTCAAAACCTCCGCCTCACCTAATTATAATCTCTTCAGAGTTCTCGGGATAACAAATATAAGTTATAGCCACTGATGACATGCATAAATTTGTAGTATGGTTCCAACAATTTTTGTTAGGAATTGGTAGACAAATTGGACAGTCAGTTTCCTGTGGTTGCAGCAGGGAGGCATTGATGCATATCTGTTTCGTGTGTTCTGGTTTGTTTGTTTTTTAAAGCACATTGGTTTAATGGTGGGAAAAGATGGTAAAAAAGAACCTAAGACAGCCTATGGAAGAAAATTTGTGAGATGGAAATTAGGAATGCTAAAATGGAATTTGAAGAGCAAACAGCAACAACTAGTTTTTAAAAAAAGATATTTTTAAGATATTCATAGAAGAAGAATTAGTAAGTCCACTGGACTATCAGGGAACAATCAAAGAACAATCAAAGAGAACAATCAAAGAAGATAAAGAACGTTTCAGGGAAGCTAAATTATTCCTTTGTATCAGTCTTCATCCTTGAGAATGTGGAGGATGGGGAAGACCTCTTCTATTTTCCAGTAATAAAGTTGAGGTACTGTCAGAAAATAAGGTGTCAAAGGAGAAGGTGCTGGAATAATCTGATATATTAAAAAGCCAACAAGTCACTAAGACCTGATCATATACACCCTAAAATTCTGAAAGAACTTAAAAATGAAGTAACTGAGCTATTAACAAAGAATGCAATCATTCATTTAAATCTGCTTCTATCCCAAAGAATTGAACAGTAGCAAATGTATCTTTCTTTTAAAAATGTGCCCTGCGATTCTGGAAATTACAGACCAGCAAGCCTTACTTTTTGTATTGGTTGAAATGATGGTAGTAATAGAATTATAAAATACCTAAATGATCATTGTTATGATAGTGACAAACCAGTATGGCTTCTGCAAAGGAAAATGGTGCCTCACTAATCTTACAGTATGTCAACAAAATAAGGAGAACTAGTTGGTATAATTTACTTGGACTTTCAAAAAATGTATGATAGCTCAGATTCCGTAGTTAATTCTTGTGGTTCTTGGGCAATAGGTAAAGTACTATAATGGAAACAAAAAAAGAGTAGGAAGAATAGGCATGAGTAGCAGACAGCACCTATTTAGTGTACTTAATCCTTCTCTACACATAAGCACACTATAGATTATTTGAAAGCTTTTTACATCTACTTTAATATGAGGTCTGGTCTGCAGCTGTTACCACAGGGCTCTGCAGAAAACAATTTCTGGACTGATAACTGCTGTGATTGTCCCTCCCTTGCCAGATTTAAATGTGGTTGTCTTGGCCATGTCAACAAATGTTTTGATGCCAGATTTCTAGACTGGACTGAAGAAGCTATGTGTTCCATCATAATCAAGTGCACCTCTCAAAAATCTCCCCATCTGTTCTTTACCAACATCTGCTATTTTCAGTGGAGACTCTTGTACGTCTGGTGTTACGTGCAGTCCAGTAGATATGTTGATAAGCACCTCTGAATGTGATTCAGGGTCAAATGGGTTTGTCATATTTTTGATGACATGGCTGATGAGAGCTATAACATGCACTTCATCCCTCTTCAGTGCAGAGGCAAGGACTTGTTTGTGAACTTTGTATTCATTACTTCTCTTTAGGCCACTTCTCTCTCTCATTTTGCATATTCATAATATTAAGCTGTGTCATCTCTAACAGTAATACTGACCTGTGCATAAGTGTCACTGAACTAACAAGCTGGTTTCTAAAATATTTCAAACACTAGTATTGCATGCATAGGCAATTACAAATTAAAACGTTCTATCAGGCATACTAGATACTACTGTATGTACGAAAGGTTACAGGTAGAGAAGCATTACATTAGGAATTCACATACATGTATATCTACCCACTACGCAGTACAAACTATGGGCATGCAATCTACTGCTACAGCTTTCAGTGTGAGACTGATCTGGTCAGCAAATTTTAATTGAAAATGCATAAAACCATGGTCATTTGTGAGGTACTTTGACAAATAAAAATATGCAGTGTGAAACATTGCATGTTAGGATATTGCAAAATCTTATTTGCTATTTTTGTCACATGCTAAACAGCTTCATTTCTGAAAAAGAAATATTTGCCTATGCAAAACCAATACAAATCTTTTAATACATTGTCATTTGGAAGCTTTGACCAATAAACACCACATTAAGATATTTAAACTGACTACAGTTCTTGCTGTTTAAGTTACAGTCATGTTGCAGTGATTCTGGAACTGTGCAAAAAATGACACTTTCTCATTTTGGATACCATTGTTTCATATCACCTACAGGCTTATGGCACCACTTGACGGCACCACTTGACAGCACCACATCATACCTCATTTAAACATACATAAAATAAGCTTTCAAATGATAGTTGGGTGTTGTGTATAGGGTGGCTACATTAAATTCCAAAAATATGGCCCTTTTTGAAGAATTGCCATACATCTATAAATGGTCAATTTTCATCATGCTTGAAAAGTGGTTAACACTGGGGTCCCATAAAGTTCTATATTAGTACCAATGTTAAATTTAGTAAAGATCTGGAAAAGGGGAATGAGCAGTGAGGTGGCAAAACTTTCAAATTACACAATTCATTTAGTCAAAACTGCAGAAAACACTAAGGAATTACAGTGAAACTAACAAAGTTAGATAAATAGGCAACATGATTATAGATGATGATCAGTATGGATACATGTAAAGTAATGCACATTCAAAGGACTAATATGAACAACTCACGCATTGCTGCATTGTAAATTAACTATAACATGCAGAAAAGTGGTCTGGGTGTTCTTGGACAACTCTATGAACACTACCTCTGCTCTATAAACAGCTGCAGTCAAAAAGTGAACAGAACATTAGGATGCCTTACAGAATGGAAAGTGCTATACGGATTAAATAATGACAAATAAATGGCACATCTTCACCTGGAATACTGTTTTCAATTCTGGTGATGGTTTTTTTTTGTTTTGTTATAAATTAGAAACATGGAAAAACTTTTATATGAAGAGAAGTAAAAGATTAGGACTGTTTAGAGAGACAGATGGGGTGACATGATCTGATACACCAAATTGTATGTGGTAGGGAGACTGTCCTGTTTATGCTTTTTTTGTAATGTACAAACAAGGGAAACATTTAATGAATTTCAGAGGCAGAGAATTTAAATGTCATAAAAAGAAATACTTTTTCACAAAACACAATTATACTGTGACAAGTTCCACATGCTATCACTGAGCGCTTAGCAGAGTTTAAGAAAAGATTACATATTGTTAAAGACAGTAAGAACATCCACAGCTTCATTATATAGGATTATTTTTTGTAAAAGAACTTGGAAGAATATACAAACTCGTGTTTCAGGGCATAATCCACTATCTGTAAAAGGTTTAGGAAGAAATTTCCCAGTGGGCTGGTTATATTCCATTATTGCCCACTTCTATTGATGGGTTCTTGCACCATCCTTAAAAGCTTTTGGTACAGGATGCTGGATGATAATGGACCACAAGTCTGCTACCATATGGCAATTCACATGTTCTGTTAGGTGCCTCATTGGTTGCTGTAATGACTCAAATGCAATTATATTTTGATTGCAGCGTGCCTTATTTTGGTAAACAGCAATTTTCTTTTAATTATTACATCTTTCTCATTCTGTTTGGCCAGAGGAAAACTTGTAGTCAAAATTGTTTGCATATTAGTCCACAGCTCATTACATGGTCTGATAATGTACTAATTTATATATGCTAACATCAACTGTAATAAATTTACTCTTCTCAAAGCTTAATTTGTTACTTTTTACATCTGTTTACATTATTTTAAAATGTCAGCCCTTTGGGAATTAGTTTATCCCTGGTGGATGTAGTCTGGGAACTAACTAAATTTCCAAGGGACTTTGCATGCTGCCCCAACCTTTTAAATTTGGGCATCGGGCACCAGGAAACATCTGTATGTGGTAGCACAGTAAGAAATATGTAGAGGTCTTCTATACTGGAGTACCTCAGGTGCTGCCCTTAAATCAGAAATTAGTTCACTACACCAGAAGTACACATTTTTCTAATTACTAGAATCTAGTCTTCTCTGCTCAACTGAACTAGCAGTTTCAGTTGACAGTTAAAAGCGAATATTATGGATTTTCCCAATGAACAAATAAGCTATGAAATATTATGATATAATTTATAATATATATAATCATCTTTGCTTAGTATGTTTAGCATTTCAGTCTATGGGCACCAAAATTAAATCTATTTAACTTTTATGCTGAAACATTTAATGTTTTCCTCACGTTATCATATAGATGTCTTCCCAAACCCTTCATTGCTCTGTCAGTGAAGTGCTAATTAAAGAGAACTTGCAAATAGTTTCTCACTATTTGTATAGGATTCCCTGCAGCATACTCAAAATAATAAAGGTAAAGAGCATTTAGTACAACTGACTTTAAATTTACCTTGTTTTTTCCTCTTTTGGGTGCCTTACAGTCATTCTGAGTTCTATTATGGTTGGACGTCCATTAGCTTAGGGCATGATGAGTCTCTCAGTGAAGGGACATCTCAGTTTAATGATCTAAAGCCAAACAAAATATTAAATAAAATTACTGAATTATTCCTTGTATGTTTGCTCTTTGGGCACCTGGAACAATACTTAAGTTAGTGACTAGCACTGCTAATATAGGGCATCCTTAGAATCTTACAAATAACTAACGTTGCAAATATTGAACAAATGATGCATGGAAAATAAAGCTGACAGTTTGTCACAATATGAATTCAAGCATCGAAAAATCAAATCTACAAAGATTAATGTTGCATTAGTGTTTGGCGATAGGGCAGATGCCCTGTCTGTGGTTTCTGAGGACAGTTTAAGGCCAGGTGAGTGTGAGAAGTTCTGTGGGAGAGTGCAACTGCAGAGGCAATGTTGGATGAGGAATGCAAGGAAATAGAGGGTGATCAATTAAAAGCTTGGGGATAGCAGTTATCTTTTTTGAGATTGCATAAGAATTCCAGTGTGTGCAGAGGTGGGAATGTTGCTAAGGATACTACGCATGGGGCTGAAGTGACAGATGGGTGGCTATTAGTACTAAGGATAAAGATGCAGGAAGATCAGCACTAGGGAAAACAAATACCGGAGGAAGAGGAGAATGCAGAAATTATACGGATTGGCGGGGAATGGGGAAAATGAGTGAGCATAAGAGGAGGAGGTAGGGGAGTGGAGAGCAGAGATGAGAAGGGGAAATGAGGAAAGGGCAATACTGGACTTCAGAGGATTAATGCTGTGTATGTGATAGTAAGATGGCAGAGGTAGAAAAGGGCAGTAAATCAAATATTCAGAGAAGTAAATGAACAGTGTTTTAAGTATGTAGAAGGTTAAATATTAAACAGTAACAATACAGCATGATCATATTTAAAGCTTGTCAAAACAGAAAAGATTCAGGCTTTTATTCAAACTTTTTTTGTCAATTTTGAAATTAAAGATTTAACTCTCCGTAGCTATACTGTAGTCTATAACCATTCAAAGAGGTGAATGGAAATGCTGAGCAAGATTGTTCCTCTTAAATGTAATCAAACACAACAACTTCTTTAATTCCTTAAACTAATGGTGTGTAACTTCTCAAAGAAATAAGGGAGTAGCTATTTATTGAAAAGCAAATAGGCAAACGTGTTTCTTTTGCACGTTTTATTCAGCTGCTCACTGATTTCTCTGGTTTCAGAACCGTATATGAATCATCAATGAAAATTTTGGATGACATCTTGAATCCTTGACTGTACCGCTGCCTTCAAGTCATGAAAAGTAGAAAGAAGGAAGATGTATTGTTTTTTTATAAAGCAAAGGAATATGGTACCTTGAAAAACATATTTAATATAATAGTGAATTGTACCTTATTGGAATGCTTGTATTATGCTAGCTTATGCTTTGTACATACATACATAATTGAAAGTCTTAGCAAGCAAATGAATAACTTTTAAAAACAAATCAGTTTTATATTCCTTTCATATTTAAAACAATTGTGCAGAAACTTTTAAAGTATGCAGAAATGTTTTGTACATACATAGATAACGTATTATTAAAGATTTTGGAATGGCTATGAGGAAGGTCTTGTAGGTATATTCCAAGTATTTCATGTGAAATAAAATCAATACCTTTTATATATTTTTTTTAAAAAAGAGAATTAATAAAATGACTGAACTATCCCTTTGAATAGCATTTTCTTGAACCCTTTGACATTGAATGACATGGGTTTACCTAAAAGGTAAGGCATGAGCACTTAGGGAAAATAGCAGCTGCTTCTGAATAGCAAAAAGCATTCTACATGGCATACTTACCAGGCCAAATGGAAACGTTTTTTCTATCTGGTCTCAGCAGAGAAGTGTCTCTCCAATGCAGGCTTCCATCTATGTTTTGGATTATATGTAGCACCTAAAAAATCAATGCCTGACAGTTCAGTTAAAGTACTTTAGCAGTCATTTCAGCGTTCCACCCTCCAATAGGTAATCGTTGCAGTTTCAGGGGTGAAGGGCAAACCAACTTCCACTCAAAAGATTTCTTCCTGGATTTCTTGTGCTACCAGTTAGCTAATGTCATGCCATCTCCTAGAGTATTGGCTCATTTGACTAGAGCACGAACAGCTTCCGCAAACTTCCTAGCACAAGTACCTATTTAAGACATTCAAAACAGTAGCCTGGTCATCAGTTTGCATTTTGGTGCTCATTATGCCATTTTCTGTCAGTCAAGAAACTATGCCAGTTTTTGACAGGTTGTTCTATAAATCGCTGTTCAGGTAGACTCCAAGCCTGCCTTTACTTTAATCTGCTTGTGAGTCACTTACAGTGGAATGGACATATGTAACCAGCTGAAGAAAACCGTTACCTAGCTTTCCACAACTGTCGTTCTTAAAGATGTTGCACGTGTCCATGCCATGACCCAACCGCCTTCCCCTTTCTTTTGGAGTATGTCCAGTAAGAAGGAACTGAGTGGGGGCGGCTCCACACTCTTACACCAGTGTGCAGTGGCACAGAGTGACAGAAGGCACTCAAGATGCCCTGAAGGGTACCACTAAGGGAAAAAGTTCTCTAATAACTAACTGTCTACAAGGTATGCACATACTTACATTGGAATGGAAAGGTAGGTAACTATTTTTTCCTTACACAACTTTGCTAACAGTACCCAGTCCATTCCTAAGCACAATTGTCAGAGAATATTATGTCACATATGTTCACAAAACAAATTGTTTTAGTGTCTCTGCTAGCGTTTTTGGTTGCAATTATGTCTGCAAGAAGAGTTTCCAAAACCTTTGCTCTTGGGAGGCATGAGTTTTGATGAGTCTTCCCACAGAGACAAGATCATTCTTCACAGTCAAGCGTTCTTGGACAGAAACACTTATTTCCATGCATCACAGCAAATTATTGTTCCTGTTTTACCCAAAACTGCGACACCTGAAAAGATTGGGGCACATACCGATTGTGAGAAGAACTGTTTTTCTTTTTAAAACTAAAGACTTTGGGAAAATCTCCATTTCTATTCACTTGCTTTCATCCAGAGTATCTGTGCCTAAAAGCATGCAAATCCTCCATAAGCAAGTGGGTCAAACTTTGCATCAGCAAAGCCTACACAAATGTGGATAAATGAATCCTAGAAGCGATCAGAGTCCCTTCAGCACTCTATCCAGGATGCTGCTGTAGACAAAGTGAATTGGCCACCATAGGAAAATCAGTAAAGCTGCCAACTGTCTATTAACTCATAAAATACTACATTTCTTGACCTTCATTTCTCTGCTTAAGCATCTGTGAGCAAGCAGGTGTTCCAAATCATGATCCCCCTAAATACTCATTATACAAATATTTCATGAATGCAAAAATCAGAGAGATTGAATTGCCTCCTATTACTAGAGGTGATCCTTTTTCATTAGTAAGTTGGCCTTGGCATGAATCAGACAGCATGTGGGCTCCAACATCTTTAAGGATACATGGAAATGTATGTCTAAGAGGCTTCCTTTGTGTGATATCCTTTACTTTCGGCTTCTGCCATCTTATGGACTTGAGCACTGTTCAAATGAGGTAGAGGCGTTGAGCGTGTGATCCCACCTGGAGATATGGAGATATGTGGTGGGAGTGGGGCTGAGGGGTTCAGCATGTGATGGGGGCTCAGGCCTGAGGCGGGGGTTGGTCTGCAGGGGTAAGGGCTCTGGCTAGGGTGGGGGGTCTGGGGTGGGGCTGAGGATGAGGGGTTCAGGGCTGAGGCAGAGCATTGGGGTGAGGGCTCCAGCTGATTTAGTTCGGGTTGGTCCTGCTTTGAGCAGGGGGTTGGACTAGAACTAGACAACCTCCTGTGGCCTCTTCCAACCCTAATCTATGACTCTATGGGGGTAGGGGCTCTGGGGTGGGGCCAGGGATGAGAAGTTTGGGGTGCAGGATGTTCTGGGGCTGGGGCCATAGGCCTCCTCGCCGGCAGCAGATCCGGGGATGCGGCCAGAGGACTCCCCCCAGTCCTTTCCCTGCCAGCAGCAGCTCTGGGGGAGATGTGCCTCTCCCTGCCGGCTGCAGCTCCGGGGCCGGGGGAGAGGCCTGCAGCAGCCCTGCACGCCCCAACTTGCTGCCCTCCCTGCCCACTTCCTACCTTTGTCCTCTCCAGGTCCCTGTGGATGTGCACCTACACTGCCCTTTATAGCCACACAGCTAAGGGGGAACTTAGGTCAGATCTGGGTTACCTGACGTGAGGTAGGACTGGGAAAAAGCAGGCACAGGAATGATCATAGCCACTGGTGAATGCTTTGAGCAGCCGTACCACTGCTACCGCATGTAAGAGCCAGTCTGCTTCCTCCTCCAACCAATGAAGTGATGTAACCAGTCAGGCAGCATACTACAGACCAGCTACCCTCTTTAGATTGCACAGAGACTGGTTCTACTGCAGGATCTGATCCTTGACCGTCCCCCACTTCAAGGGTGCCTCCTTGGGGCTGTTTTCCAGGTACTTCTAAGGGAATTCTCACAATATGGCCAGCGTGTGGATGTTCTCTATCAGTTCTCAAAACCACTCATCTGGCGTAGTCTTCCTAGTCTCTCCTAACTTGCTGATAGTTGGGGATGTGGTAGACCAAGTGCTTTTCCTGTCTGCGAACTGTTATGAGTGGCAGTAGTAGGTTGGAGCAGGTGGGGTGTGGGCTTTACAGATGGGGTGGATCCTCAGGGACTCAGGCAGCTATAACCTGAAGGCCAATGGGTTTACCCGTTCTATAATCTTGAAAGGGCCCAGGTATTTGTAGTTGAGTTTGGTGGATAGGCAACTTGATTTAAGGTTCTGAGCAGAGAGCCACGCCTTGTCCCCTACAGTCAGACTGGGGCAGCTTGATGCTCTTGGTCCCCATTGGTGTTTGTTGGTTTCTTTGGCAGATTGCAAGAATTCTTTGAATTCCTGGTGTACCTGGTATAGGTGGGAGACTGAATCCACAGCAGCGAGTACTGGGGTGGAAGTGGGGATGAAAGCCATAATTTGCAAAGAATGGACTATTTGGGTCAAGGCATGGGTTGCATTGTTCTATGCAAATTTGGCATAGAATAGCAGGGGAGCCAGTTGTCCTGCTGGCAACTCAAAAAGCAGCCAAGATACTTTTCCAGATCGACCCTCTCTGTTTGCCCATTAGTCTGTGGTGATAGGCAGTTGAAGTAAGGGACTTGATGCCAAGGAATGTGAAAAATTCCTGCCAGTACCAGGAGATGAACTGGGATCCCAGTCAGATATAATGCCTGTCAGTAACTTGTGGTAGAAGACATTTTCCAGGACAAGCTGAGCAGTCTCCCATGTGGTAGGAACAGTACAGCATGGGATTAAAGGTGCCTGATGACAACTAGGATTCTTCTTCAAATAGATGCAGCCGTGTATTCCATGTAGGTGTCTGGACACCTAGCACACCAAACCCAGAGAATTCTGCCTAACTCTACCTGTAAGGCGGGTGCTCATGCCTCATGGCTGTCACCCTTCTTCTTCGAGTGATTGCTCATATCGATTCTGTCATAAATATAAAGGGAAGGGTAAACCCCTTTAAAATCCCTCCTGGCCAGAGGAAAAATCCTCTCACCTGTAAAGGGTTAAGAAGCTAAAGGTAACCTCGCTGGCACCTGACCAAAATGACCAATGAGGAGACCAGATACTTTCAAAAGCTGGGAGGAGGGAGAGAAACAAAGGGTCTGTGTCAGTCAGTATGCTGCTTTTGCTGGGGATAGAACAGGAATGGAGTCTTAGAACTTTTAGAAAGTAATCTAGCTAGGTATGTGTTAGATTATGATTTCTTTAAATGGCTGAGAAAAGAATTGTGCTGAATAGAATAACTATTTCTGTCTGTGTGTCTTTTTGTAACTTAAGGTTTTGCCTAGAGGGATTCTCTATGTTTTGAATCTAATTACCCTGAAAGGTATCTACCATCCTGATTTTACAGAGGTGATTCCTTTACTTCTATTTACTTCTATTTCTATTAAAAGTCTTCTTGTAAGAAAACTGAATGCTTTTTCATTGTTCTCAGATCCAAGGGTTTGGGTCTGTGGTCACCTATGCAAATTGGTGAGGATTTTTACCAAACCTTTCCCAGGAAGTGGGGTGCAAGGGTTGGGAGGATTTTGGGGGGAAAGACGTGTCCAAACTACGTTTCCCAGTAAACCCAGTTAGAGTTTGGTGGTGGCAGTGGATATTCCAAGGACAAAGGATAAAATTAATTTGTACCTTGGGGAAGTTTTAACCTAAGCTGGTGAAAGTAAGCTTAGGAGGTTTTCATGCAGGTCCCCACATCTGTACCCTAGAGTTCAGAGTGGGGAAGGAACCTTGACAACATGTCTGCTTGGTCCCTCATAATCTGAAGCATCTGTATGCATGCATAATCTGCACCGCATGCTCTCGCTCATTGGAAGCTTTCCTGCTCTCCATGTCCATGTCTAACTTCTTGGACAATGAAATCCTCTATGCTCTCAGCTCTGTGTCAGCTGGCCCGGAGGTGTTTATTATCTCGGTGAACATATCCTCCTGTGTTCTTTTCTCCTCCTTCTTATCACTGAAAGTCTGCTTTCAGGTGTTGATGACATGATGGACACATTTCCAGCCGTCAGTCAGGGGAAAAAATAAAGGAGCCATTGTACATGAATAAAAATGTTTCCATAGCAAGGCCATTTTCATAAAATAAAAACCCTTATTACACTAGGTGCAAGCCATAACATAATCAGAATTGGTAACCTTTCACTGTGCTGTTTTGCCTCTCCGGCCATAGTGAGTATGCTCCCCTGGGTCATGGGTGACTCCACTTTTAATGAAGTTTATGGCAGGCTCATGTCGGGCACACAGGTAGCTAGTCATACAATGGCCCTTCTCCATAGCGCCATGGGAAGCTGTTTACAAATGGGATGGGGTGGGGAAGGAAGGTTT